AATAGAAAAGGATGGTGCTTAGGTGAGTGATTTAGGAGTGAGGAGTGAGAGATCTTATGAGAGGAAATTATGAAGGGATTCACAAGGTTTCCCGAAAGTAAGGATCTCTTATTTATTCTTTAAGTTTCTCCCTACTTCTTTGAAGGCTTTTGAGAGAAGATTTTCAAAAAAGATCACACTACTTTCCTCTCACTGGGAGGGTGAAAAAGAATTTTGGTATTCTTCCATCACCAGGAGGGTGAGAAATGACGTTGGTACTCTGCCATCACCATGATGGTGAGACAAGATGTCGATACTCTACCGCACCAGGTTAGTCGAAGAGAGGTTTTGTAAGGGCTTCTCCGCCTTACTGTGGGGGCAAAAGGAGAGTCACTTTTGATTTAGTGTAATACCTAAAGTAAGAGTCTATAAGAAGTGGACATAGGTCTAGTTGGACCAAACTATTATAAAATTTAGTGTTATTCTATTCCATTACTTTTTACTTCATTTTTTTTCATTTAAAATTATTGTGGTTAAAAAATCTTTTCTAAAAATCTATCATTGTGTCAAATATCTTAAATTAGTTTTTTAATATCCAAGAGAATTTTTAAATTACTAATTCACACCCCTCTGGTTAGCCTTGGGATAATTTAATTAGATCTAACAACCTACTTAAACTTTCAGGAAGGACTATAGTTGGTGGGAGATAGTGGTCATAAGGACCATTGTCTGGTGATAGAGTTTAGAAGGATCGTAGTCGGCGGACGACAGTTGTCAGAAAGACCCTTGTAAAAGTGCGACGGAGGTTTGACTTTAATTGGAGGCAATGCAAAAGTCCAACATTAGTTGGGGGATGGATAGAAAAACTTGCATCAGCTGGCAGTTGGGCATAAGTGCGACATTAGTTAGTAGCTGGGTAGAAGTTAAGCGTTAATTGGCTTTCGGGCAAAACTTTAATGTTAGTTGGTGGCGGGCAAAAATCTGGCATCAGTTGGAGATGAGGTAGAAGTTAGTTGATGAGTTAAAGGCAGGTGTCGGGTAGAAGTCCAATGAAAGTCCGAAAACAAACAAAAGTCAGGCGACGGGTAAACGGTTGGCATATGGTAGATGTATGACGAAAGTTCAGCGTGGGGCAGAAGTTCTACGACGGGCGGAGGTTCAACATTCAATAGAAATTTGAAGAAAGTCTAACGATGGATAGAAGTCCGACGATGAGTGTAAGTCTAAAATTGGGTAAAATACCGCTAAAAATCTAGTGACGGAAAGAAGTCCAGTGATGGGTGGAACTTTCACATCGGTAGAAGTCCGACAAAATTTAATGCCCGGACAGAACTCTAGCGTCAATTGGCGATCGAGCAGAACTTCGATGTTGGTCGGCTATTGTACAGAACTTCGACGTTAGGTAGCGTTTAGGCAGAATTCTAGCGTTGGTAAGCTACCGGGTGGAAGTTCGATGGTGGTTGAGGAAGAGGCTACTGGCGATGGAGCTCTCTTCCTTCTCTTCCTTTTCTTTCTTCTCTTACTTCCTTGCTCCCTTATCTTCTCTTCTTCCTTGGGCCTCCTCCTACCAAAATAAGGAGTCTATTTATAGTTTTTTGAGAGTGGCAAGGCCAGAAAATAAGAAGAAGGTCAAAGGTTAATTAGGAGTGGTTTGAAAGGACGGCCGATATTGAATCCCTTGATTATTGACCATTTATTTGGCTTTTAAATGTCTTAATGATATCAAATTTTTACTATCTAGGGCTTGTTGGATTTGTCTCGTCGAGCCGCTCGATTCGACTATAAGCATGTCTTATTTGGAAACTATTTGGTATTCCAAATTTTGGTTTGAACCTTACAAATGCTTTCAGGTCTTTGATTTGAACTCATTTGGGCTCGTATTGAGTAGAAGTTGGTGTCGTTGGGTTGGAATTTTCAAGACATTGAGTTTGCTGTAAGTTTGCTGAAATCAGAGTTTAGAAGATCTCCGATTTAATTTTGAAGTTTTCAATCTTGATTTTTCTTCAAGATTCGTACCCGATATACATAATTTTTTGATGATATATCAGTTTCCTCGTCTTTTTGGATGCTGAATCTTGCAGAGTTAAAAATAAATCTGTCCCACAAAATGTTGAGATATAAAAATATCTTTCTCAAGCAAACTGTACGGAATAATCTTTGTTTGGTTTTCAATAGGAAGCTAAACATGAGATCATTAGCCCAAATAATTTTTTGAATATTATGCATTGATCAAATGAAAATTATTTATAATCTTCATAACTATATACTTGTAGGTGCAGAACCTCTTGATTTAAATCATCATTCAATTAAAAATATATAATTTAATATATAAAAAAATTATTTTAGTTGAATTCAATTTTCTTTTATAACATTTATTTCGCAAAATTTAACCTCCTCAAAAGGAATTTTTATTGCCTCAGGTAACCTGACGCATCTCTACGTTCGGTATCGCTCCAAATCGCTACACCTGGCAGCTCTATTACGCCGACCCGACCCGCCGAAGTTTGGGTTAATGGCACATGCAAAATTTAAATTTAATGGGCCGAATGGTGGACCCGAAAAAAATCCCGCGGACCCGAAAATTATGTATAATTTTGAAATAAATATCACCGTCTATCACTTCCGACACGATTTACTTGCATATACTACATATTCTTCCACCGGCGATACTTCATCTTCTACCAAGTTTCAAGCTTTTCGTATTTGCATTCAACAATGCCTCAGGTTAGCTAAATTTTTTATCAACAATGCATTATCTTCTTCTTTTAAAATGATTAGGGTTATGGTTAAACGAGGTATACTTGTATATCGAGCAGTACCGAGCATTATTAACACTCGATACAGCTTGGTATTGGCTATTAATGGTCGGTATAAGCTTAGATTCTAATGGGTAACACTCGGTACTGCTCGGTATTCGGATTAATGGTATAATGCTATATATTGCTCGGTATTGCCATTTATTGGTTGGTATAAGCTTAGGTAAGAACTCGTACCGAGTGTTACTCATTAGTACCGAGCATTTATAACACTCGATACTGCTCGGTATTCGAATTAATGGTATAAGATTTATTTAAAACATATTTTATAGAGTTATATAAACTAGGTACTACTCGGTATTGTTCAGTACTGAGCAGTACCAAGTACAAAATACACTCGGTATTACTTGGTATTGTTCAGTACCGAGCATTATTAACAGGCGGTACTACTCGGTATTGTTCAGTACCGAGCAGTACCGAGCATGATTAACAGGAGGTATTACTCGGTATTATTCAGTACCGAGCGTATTTTGTCTATATAATTTAATATTTTGAATTAATTGTATTTAATACTCGGTATTTGTTATGCAGGGATATACTCCAAAGATTCATTTTAGATGCCGAACTTCGATATTTAGAGAAGTTTGTAATCTACTTGTTAAGAGATTTGGAGATCCCTTTGTTGAAAGACTGAGGCTACTGCATATTAACCAATTCTTGAGGGTACCCCAAATGCCACAAAATGTTCCACTTATATATATGATGTTATCGAACTGGGATATGAAGACTGAAAGTTTCATTATTAAAGGACAAAGTCTGGAGTTTACATCTGATGAAGTTGCATTACTTATACGCATGCCAAATAGGGGTATCATTTTTGACGTTGGCAGTGCCAGATCCACCGGAAAAACTTCAAATGACATCCGCCATGATATTGAGAGGATGGATAATACAACTCCAATGGACGATTTAGTGAAAGGCTTCCTCCTTTACCTACTATCGAACATATTTTATCCAATAGCGAACTTCCGTATACCATCTTCTATCTTGGAAGTTGTTAAGAATGTTGAGAGTTTTAATAAGTACAACTGGCTTGAATCAATTAGGAGTTACCTAGTTCAAGAATTCAACATTGTTTCTATAAAAAAGAGAAGGGATCCGCCTTGGGTTATGTAAATGGTTTTGTCATGATTATAATTGTGAGTATTGTTATTTTTTCAACTGATTTTTGGTTAATTTACAAATTATAAACAAAGTAAAATTGTCCTCATTTGTACATATTTGGTTTCTTGAACATACATCAATTCATGCAGTGGAGGATGAACTATCCCGTCCACGTTTTACTCGCTGGAACAGTAACTTCATTTACAGTGAAAAAGATATAAATAGTATATTTGCTGACCTTAACAATCATGAGTTATATTTACAATTTAATTTCTTATAAAATTATATGTTTAAAGGTTTAAATTTGATGAAATATTATATTGTATGCAGATTCTCAAAGAATTCCGAGGAATAATAAATGATGAGAAAGTTTTATTGCATGGACTTTCTCCAGCCAGTCCAATAACGGAGGTAATCCCAATTAGGGCAACTTCCCCACCAACAGCTGAGTCATTGTCACTTACTAGGGTTCACAGTCCGGTTAACGAGCCAATTCCACCCAAAGATGACTCATGTCCACCTAGTCCAGTTGGTCCAGTATGGGTGGCAAGCCCAACTCATCCTGATTCATCGTCAAATCTAGAATCAAGTCAAGTATGAGGAAATAAACCTGAGGATATTAAATCAAGCATTATACAAGCTGTTAATAAATGACAAATTAATGAAGAAGAAGGTAGTACAGTTGGAAGCAAACAATAATCAACTTGAACAGTGCATAGTTACTCTGGAACAATCGCTTTTTGATTTGAAAGAAGAGAATTTTGAATTTAAAGAGCAGATAAAAAAGAAAGATGGGTTTATTTTGCAATTCTTCCAAGATCAATTTCCTGCTTATTTTAGAACTTACAAGAAAGAAATGGCTGTTGGTTCTTCCTCATCAACTACTGTATCTGAAAAGGATGCAACCCTGTGTGAGGAGGTTGATCCATCCTTACTAACTGGCATTGCAAAAAGAGTTCAAAAGAGAAATGATAGAAAGAGAAAAGTTGTATCAATACCATTTACAACGGGTAATAGGAAGAAGAAGATTAAAGTAAATTTGTGAGTCAAAGAGAAGATTGGTCACTCAATTTCAAGTGATACAACTGCAATAGCACCTCCTCAAACTAAAACTGCTCCAACTTCTACAAGTGAACTTGCACCACCAACTACAACTGAACCGTCTCCAACTACTGAAAAAGAACTTGCACCAGCACCTGAACCTACTCCAACTTCAACAAGTGAACTTCCAGCGGCACTTGATACTACTCCTAAACCAGCACCACCTCCTACGACTAAACCTTCTTGAACTACTGAAAAATCTATGATTGTTTATGAAGTTGATGATTCTAAAGAAATACCATTGAAACCTGCACCTGAATATTTAGATTACCCGGGCAGATCATTACTTAGTGAAGATAAGCAGTTGTTTATCGATAATGGCCTGAAACAATTTAAGGATAAGTAAGTACTGATCTTATATATAATAATACCGTGTAATACCGAGTAGTACCGAGCTATACTGATCGGTACTACTCGGTATTACATTAAACATACTCGGTACTATATCAATACCGAGTAGTACAGAGCTTTACTATATGTATTACTCGGTATTATATTAAACATACTCGGTAAAATATCAATACCGAGTAGTACCGAGTAGTACCGAGTGATACCTAGTAGTACCGAGCTTTACTATATGGTACTGCTCGGTATTACATTAAACATGCTCAGTACTATATCAATACCGAGTAGTACCGAGTGATACCGAGTAGTACCGAGCTTTACTATATGGTACTACTCGGTATTACATTAAACATACTCGGTACTATATCAATACCGAGTAGTACCGAGTGATACCGAGTAGTACCGAGCTTTACTATATGGTACTACTCGATATTACATTAAACATACTCGGTACAATATCAATACCGAGTAGTATCGAGCTTGGGAATATGACAATAGTATTTTTACAATCATCTTTTCTAATAAATGTTTTTTTGAATTATCCAGGAATGACACTATTTTCGAGCTTGAAAATATAACAATTTTTCGAAGTCAATTGGACGAATTATTATTGTCGGAGGAACTTGACAATAATCATGTTGATGTGTTTGATCATTTATGATTCCAGAAAAATGCACTTTGCCCCGGTCTTAATCAACCTTTTCTTTTTGTTTCTAGTTTTCATTGGGTTAGTAATAAATTTTTAATCCTTGAGTTTGGTATTTCTATTTAGTAGATGTAAATAAGTTGGAATTAATCACCACTGTAATCTCTTCTTAACCAGGGATATTACAAACAAGCCAAGGATAATGGAATTGAGGATCTAGACACAACGAACTATGTATCTCATATAAATAGAACAGTTATTAAGAATGTAAATTTGATCTTTGTTCCTATAATAAACAATAAATATTGGACTCTTCTAGTATGCAATTTGAGAAAAAAACTATGGGAGTTTTATGATTCATTACCATAAAAGACACACAAAGCCATACTCCCAGAAGTTGTAAGTAAAACCAAAATTTATTTAGTTTATTTATTTCTTAACAAAAATTAATGTTATTTTCATTTTACTTTTCCAGATTTCTCATTTCTACGAGGAAACGAAGACTGCTTTTGACATTAATATAACGAAATGGACAATCAAGAGATTTAGAAACGTGCCAACACAAGATAACAGCATTGATTGCGGCATGTTTCTTTATAAATATATGGAAGTTGTAATACAACAAGAACATGTTCAATGGTATCTTTATAAGAACTGGCAATCTAATATGCCACTATTCAGGGCTGAATTAGCATATGCCATCTTATGTACAAAAATTCAATAGATTATGAAATAAATTTTCTTTTGCATGTATATTTCTTGTGCATTTTTAATTACAATTAAAATTCAATCTAATATGCCACTATTTATTTAGCAGTATGAAAACAGATAGGACTGGCTCAGTATTCCATGAAATTTGCTAGGTACAAACCAAAGACCGATCGGTATTGCTCGGTTTTAGCCAAAATTAGCTCGGTACACAACAACTATATGGTACCGAGGACTAAAAAGGAGTAATACCAAGCTATGGCTACTAATCATTAAGTAATACCGAACAATATGAGAACAGATAGGGATTGCTCGGTATTCGACGAAATTTGCTCGATACAAACCAAAGACTGATCGGTATCACTCATTTTAAGCCGATATTAGCTTGGTACACACCAAAAGCTGATCAATACAGAATTATGTAATCAAGTTTCAAGCAAAAATGAGTATTTATAGAGTCAAACTGAGTAATTAGAGACATACAATCAGGAAGACATATTCATTATAGAAATTCCTCCAAATTAACATATTACATGAAAGACGATTGACTACTTGAATCTGGATTTGTGAAGTGTATGCTTGTTGGTGTAATCTTCTCTGTGGGTTTAACTTTTTTGGTCTTTCTTTTCTCCCAATGATCCTTCAATCTTGCATTTGAAACGCCCTTTGACCGGTACTTCTTAGGATCTTTAATAGTTTCATTACCAGCTTCAGAATTTGGTTTGTTCTTTCTGCCAAGCTTGATGGAATGAACTTTTGCAGCCAAAGTACACAAATCATCTATGACACACTTTTCAGCCTCCTCATTACCTTATGCTTCTGTGCTAATTTTATATGCAAATCGACATACATAATTTCTGAAAATAAGGTTGCTAGACCCCGAAATAAGTTGGCAAGCATTCATACCAAGACATGGGATCTTACCTCCAGAATATAAATCTTTTCGAGCATTGGCTGACCATCTTGAGAGTAAATATTTAATGGGAATATTAACAATATCTAACTGTCTCATTACTCTCATGCAATGTGCACATAATATACCCATCATTTCAAATTTAGCACAGCTGCATTCAATGCTACCTTCTAATGAATTAAAATTGACAATCCAAATGTGTGAATCAGTGGAGTTATCTATGTTCCAAACAAAAAACCTTGATAAATCCGATGAGGTATTTTCAACGCATAATCCACCAAGTCCATGCAAGAACTCATTTTCAAAAAATACATACAACTTTCTTGAATAAAATTTTGCAGCTTGCTTCAATATTGGGCTACTTTTCATATAAGGCACTATATTAGTTTGACTACATCCGAATTTTTCATCTTGTTCATTTCGACGCCAATTCCTCATCACCTTCTCCAAACCGAGGAAATACTCGGTGATAGTACTTGTTGGCTTTGAATAACCATGGCATACATGATTGGTTTACTCACTACATTGGGTTGATAAAATGCCAAGGTTAAAACAATCTTTATTGAATGCAGTTGACCACTTCTCCCTGATTTTGTAGATATCATTCAACCATTGATGGTTTTACAGGTTTCATTGTAATATCATTTTAGTCCATTTAATCTCAAATTCCTCCACTGAATCATATTATTTGAAATAATAAAAAAATAAGGATTTAACTCTGTTGTTGCTGTTAAAGCACCATACGTTTGAAGGTGCCTCTTTGTAGAGATGCCATTGACACAATCGATGTCGTGCATGATGCAATGCAATCTCTATTGCCCTGGCCATGGCTTGGTCCTGATCAATAAAAATGGTAATGGGATGTTTGTTATCCATGATTTTAATAAATGTTCGAAAAAGCCAGGTAAAGGAAGCTATAGTCTCATCAGATAAAAATGCAACTCCTAGTAGAACATTTTGCCAGTGATTATTTACTCCGACAACTGGGGCACAAGCTAAGTTATATTTATTTAAACGATAACTATTATTGAATATAATCACATCCCCAAAATAGGCATAATCAATTCTACCAAGATCATCCACCCAGAAGAAATTCAACAAACACCCATCTTCATCAGTTTCAACATCCCAGGCAAATATGTTGTCATCAATTGCCCGTTTTTTAAACAACTTGATCAGTGAATTAGTGTCTCCAGTCTCGATCTTTGCTATTCTTTCTTTTTGGATGTAGTTGTATGCATCCTGCTTCTTGAATCCAAGATTACCCACACCTCCAACTTCATTAGATAGGTATGTAAATGCATCGACAGTTCTTATCCCTACTTCTGACATAGATTTCAAAATAGCTGCATTATCATCACTAATGCTCCTAGATAACTTGAGCAAATGTTGATCATCCGGCCTAGCCAGTTCGTGATTGTGACTTTCTATAGATTTATTCACTGCCCAAACCCCATCTTGACTCACCAAAAATCTAACCATGGCTGGACATCCTGTTCTTGTACATGATCTTCGATATTTTACCTTAGTATCACTCTCATTCGCCTTCTTGAAACCTGATTTAGAACACATAAAATCCTTTGATTTGATTTTCCTTATATTTGGCCAAAAATGATGATGATCTTTCCGAACACTAAATCTAGTTGAATGCGCGTACTGGCAATATTTTTCATATGCTTCCTTCTTAGAATTGTAAACACCCTAAGAAATATTCATACATCCATATTAGCTTTATATCTAAATATCAATCCGGACATTAAAAACAAGCTTATACCGAGGTTGAATGATCGGAACTATAATGTATTAATATTTATTAGCTCGGTACAACTCTGCACTGAGTTTATACCGAGCTATTATAATCAATATCGATCGTATACCGATCTATAATAATGAATACTGACATTATACCGAGCTAAGAAGGAATTCATACCGAGTAATGATCGGTAGTACTACAACCAACGTTTGATACCCAGTAATGAAACAGTAAAAAGTTTAAAAAAAACAAACAAACTGTATAGATAATAACATACTTGTATTAACTCAGAAAATGCTTCATCAAAGGTTAACGTCGGAGTTTCCTCGAAATTTACTAAGTCTTCGAAAGCAAAATCTACATTCGATCCATCCATCTCCTCAAATACTTCACGATTTCTTTCGTGAGGTATATGAGAATTATATGAACCGTAAAGACTGTCTAACATCTTAGGTTTAATACATAAAAGGTTATTATACCTGAGGTAAAAGCCGCGTACATTTTTAGTTTTCCCGACCATTTCATATACATTGCGGCGGGCTGATCCGAACTATTTTAAAAAACATGCTAAATCATATGGGCTGTCGTCGGGTCATTAGGAGTAAAGAAGGCATGCCAGGTGTCGCGATTTGGAGCGATACCGAACGTAGAGGTGTGTCAGGTTACCTGAGGCAATAAAAATTCTCTCAAAAGGAGGCAACAACAGTATAGCCTTAACATATATTTATATAATATTTATTTATAATTCTTCTTTTTTTTGTATTTTAACATTCAGCCCCCTATTTCTCCTGACATAGGTGGCAACAATGCAAGTTTTTTTTTTTTAAACAATGTAACAGATGGTTTTTTGAGGTGGCAACAAGAGTTTTGAATTTTTTTTGTTAAAGGGTAGCATTTTTTTAGAGAGTTTTTCCTCTCTCTCTCTCTCTTTTTTTTTTAGAGAGATTTTTTTATTTTATTTCAAAATTCAAAAAATTTCAACAGGGGGACAAAAAAATTTGAAAAATATTCTAGAGACATTTTGAAACAATTTAAGTAATTTGGAGGCAATTTTTCGCCCAAATTTTGAACCGTTTCCCCCCATTTTTATGCTACAAATATCCCTCTTAGGGTAAGGAAAAAATGGTACCTATCTCTCTTTTTCCTTCTTTCTCTAACTTTCTTACAATTGACAGTTTTTACTATTTTTTGTAGGTGGCATCCCCTATTCAAATTCAGTGCCCCTCTATTTTATAGAAGTTAGAATTTTTGGCCTTCTCCTCTTTCACTTTCTTATTCTCTAATCTTCCTCTTACATTAGAGGCATTCCACTGTCATATATTAAAAAAATCCCCTATTAATTTTTAATGCTCCTCTTCTTTGTAGAAGGAGAATTTTTTCCCATTCCTATTTTCTTCTCCTCTAATATTCTTCTTACATTAGAGACATTCTAATGTTTGAGATACGTGATATCCCTTATAAAGCTTCACTGCCCTTCTTTGTGTAGATGGATCTTTCTCCTCACTTTTTTTCTAATACTCAATAAACTATGCTTTACATAAGAAAATCAACTGTTATTTGTATGTGAGGGTGATTTGAGAAGATGTGACAGTAATAATACTCGAGAGAAGAACCAAATATTATTTGTAGAAAAGGTGCATTTTGATACTTGAGCAGAAGTTCATCGGTGATCAACAATCAAGTGGAAGTATGATGTCGATCGGGGGTTGGGTTGAGAGTTGAACAAGATAGTTGGAGGCTGTACTGTTAATAGTATCAAGCGATAAGCCAGTAATGGTTGATATGAAATGAAGAACTAACAATGGACATCAGGTAAAAGACTAAAGATGGTGGTGGTAAAGTTGTATTCTTCTAAGGCAATATGCATCCATACTGACATGTGAAGATATTAGATATTCTTAATTGAAGGAGGCAAAGCAGTATGCCATATTAGTAGTCTTTTGATACCCATATAGTTTCAACTGACTGGAGGCCTGATGATGATCAAATTATAATATTTTTTGAAGAAGAAGTTGTATGAGATGCTTCAATGTATAGTAGAGAAGAAGTCGCTTTAATCCACCAAGAATATTTGATTGTTTTGACGTTATTTATTATTTGATGATATTAACTTATGCAGATAATGTCAATGTACTTTTTAGTTTCAACTTTTAGTGAGGATAAGTGTACACTTGAATATGATGTTGGATATGTGTAACTTCATTGATGTTGTATACGAAGTTGAGATTATTATATGAGCTCGATGCTTATTTTTTATTTGAATTGAACTTATCTCTTAGAGGAATCTAAATTGTTTATGCATCTTTGAAACATGCTTTGATATATTTCTCCACATACTTTTTGAGAATTTTTTAGACGGCTATAGTCTTCATATTAGTGATGATTTTATCAACCACTTACTTTCATAGAATCTTTCTAGAGAGGATATTGTCCACTTAGAATATTGCTCGATGATATTAACCTATGTGAAAAAGGTCTAGAGAATTTACTAAGGATGTATGACCTATCCAAGTTTGTATATCAGAGCATTGCTCAATTATGTTAACCTATATGAAAGAGGTCAAGAAGTCCACAAAAGATGTATAACCTTTCTGAGGTTGTATATTAGAGTGTTGTTTGATGATGCTAACCTATATAAGAAAGGTTTAGAGAATCCACAAAGAATGTATGACCTATCCAAGGTTGTATGTCAGATTGTTGCTCAATAGCATTAACCTATGTGGAAGAGGTTGATAAAATCTACAAGAGCATGTATAGGGGGTCCTCTGACGTGCCACACACGTCAAGGATAAAAATTGAAACATTATACTTTTACACAAGGGTCATCGGAGGTGTTAATGTAGAGGTCGAGGGCTGTGTCGACAGTGTTGGGGCGATGTCGATAATATCGGTGGTGTTGGTGCACATATCGAGGAGAGAAGTATTTTCTCACATTTCTTTTCTTTTTCTTATCTTTTTTTATTTATTAAATATAATTAATTATTATAGTTAACATAATTATAACTAAATTATAATTTTAAATCATAATTAATGTTATTTTTATTAGATTATAATTAAAATGATTATAATTATCATAGATATAATTTAAGATATAATTTTTATAATCAAATTAAATTGTAATTGATATTAACGTAATTCAATTACAATTAATATAACTAATACATAAATTACAACTACTGTAATTATAATTTATACAACTATGCTCAATATATTTTACAATCCAATTAATGTAAACATAATCAGATTATAATTAATTGTAGTTATGATTAAACACAGACAATATCACATTATAATCAATTTTAATTCTTAATTTACATAACAGTATTAATGAGAGCACCGTTAATGATTAACAAGTAATAATAGCAAATAAAGAAAAAGCAAAGATCTACCTCTCTGTTTGGCGTTTGCATAATCGAACGGCGAGGTGTTCAGTCGTGAGGAATACGGCAGAAAGGAGTTAGATCAGGTGGAAGGAATGAGGATCTGAGATTGTTGGCTTGCGGTTTGATCGGTCCTTAAGTGTACGCAGGCGACTAGGGACGGAAGTGTGGGGTGCGTCTAGAGGCGGAGAGGGAGGCCGGAATTTGCAGCTTGTAGAGGGCTTCACACGTGTGGAAAGGGGCAGAGGCAAAGCTTGTTATTAGGTCAAGATTTAAGGGGTAGATCAGTCGTGCGCTTGCGGTTTGGAGAAGGTGAAGTGCTCGGAGGCTAGGTTTAGACGTTTGTGTCGGATTGAAGGCCTGAGTCGGGATTGAGGCTCGTGAATGGAGATTGCCTGTAAGAGGTCGAAAGGTCGAATCAACAGAGGGGCGGGAGCATGTGAGAAAAAGAGTGGGAAATGATCGCTTCATCCTCATTTTAATGACGACGAGGCTGAGCCAACTCCTACAGAGATCATGCTCGTTCTTTTTACGGCGAGCCCTCGCGGAAATCGCGGATAATGACGAACGACGTCGTGCAAAGTTTGCCGGAACTGGACGTCCGAGGTAATGGGCTGATTTTTTTTTTTTTTTCATTTTTCGCTTAAATTTTTTTAAATACTAATAATAAGTATTATACTAATATTTATTTATAATAATTATTATTAGTATTTTGGGCGTGCAATTTTCTTTGAGCAAATTTATTACTCGTTTTAGATGATTTGGACGTTCCGAGCGCAACGACAAAGTCTATTTTACGATCGGACGTCTCTGGAGCGACATCATGCATCGTTTCCTCGGTTCACCTGCGTTACCTTGGGACCTGCGCCAATCTATGTGTGCGACTTTCTTTGAAAAAATTGACAGTCAATTTAGAGTATTGATGATGTTTCAAACGCAACGGCGAAATCCGTTTTGCAATCGAACGTCGTTCCGACATCATCATGCCCCAATTTTCACAATTTAAGCTCATTTACTCAAGATGTGTGTTGATCAAATTAGTAGCATTTATTGATCAAATTGACTGTAGATTTTGGATATTAATGATGTTTTGAATGGAACGGTGAAATCTATTTTGCCATCAGACATCGTTTTGGGGACTTCACGTGCCAATTTTGGTTGTCGGACTATGATTTTGATCGGTCGCGCTCGACTCGACTGTGAGGGGCCTCGACTTGTGGTAATTCGATTTTTTTTGTGGCAACGGTGTAGTCCATTCAGTAATTGGATACTGTTTGACCCTTCAAATGATGCATTATGCGTGTTATTTGATATATAGGCCAACTTCGTAATAGTTCATGGAGAATAAATGCTATGCTATAGGAGTTAATCAATGGAAGCAACATGACTACTTCTCCCTGATGCTCCCTAATGGCAAGTGATCAAACAAGCCCGCCAAGTAGATAGAAAAGTAGCAGCTAAAGTCATTATGAAAGGATTGTCTAATTCCCATGCAATTAAGTGGCCTACCTAGTGGTGCCTGACAGCTCTTTATACTTCTTTATAAATATTTTTTATAATAATATGTTAAAGCCGTCTGGCCTATAAAAGATACTGGTCATCTCTAAGAGAATGATGAAAAAAACAACAAGAGTCGAGTGTTTTTTTTTTTTTTTTGGGACATTTAGGCCATTTAAGGCAAACTCACACACACTACGCATACACATAGACTCGAACCCTGAACCTCTTAGTTGGAAGCCTAAGCTCTCAACCAATAGGCCAAGGAGAGTTGTGTGAGTCAAGTGTTGTAATTGTTAGCCATCTCACACGTGGCATCTTGAGATTGGTCACCTACTTTGTACAAACGGCTCTATGTACTTTCTTTAATATAGTTCTAGTCTTTTCTTTATCATGTTATCTATATATACTCTGTAATAGTGTTTCAGTAATTATATCTTTTTCTTCTCTGTTTTTCCTTTTACCTGTTTCGTGTATCTCTGGCATCCCGTGAGCTCTTTCTCTGTTTATCAACATGGTATCAGAAGTCTAGTTCATCCTGTTCCTCCTCTTTTCTAATCTTCAATGACATCTACTGAACAACTTCGTTCCCCACCCAGGAGGATTCCTCCTCCGCCGAAGAACCCTTCTTCTCTCCACAAATTCCATCCTCCCTCAAATTCTTGATGAGCAACGTCAAGAATGTCATAGCCCAACAGCTTACAGCGGATAATCATTCGCTATGGAGATCTCAAGTTCTCAAGCTCTTTCGGGCAAATAGTTTTGAAGGATTCTTGACCGGATCTGTCACCTGCCCGCCTCCCACCATCTCCAACACCGCCGGGAAACTCAACACCAACATTGCCTACACAACCTGGCAACTTATCGATCAAAATCTCGTTGCCGCGCTATATTCTATCATTTCTCCTGTCATCTTACCTTACGTTCTCTCCGCCGACAACTGCAGCGAAATCTGGCGCATTCTTGACAGCCGGCTACAATCTTCTACTAGATCAAGAATTTCACAATTAAAGAATGAACTTCTTTACCTCTCTATGAAGGATAAGACAATGACCCAGTACCTCCTTGACGTCAAATCCAAAGTCGACGCACTCGCTGCCGCCGGTTCTCCGGTCGATGTTGAAGACGTTATTCATTATACGCTCAACGGTCTTCCCAACACCTATCAAGCATTCAAGACTGCTATCCACACCAATCTTCGCTATGTTAGTTTAGACGAACTCTACACCCTCCTTTGTAGCGAAGAACTTAATCTTCTGCACGAGACCGCCAAAGAACTTCACTCGCTCAGCCTCGACGGACAACAAATGGCCCTTACAGCTAGTCGTGGCCGTGGCCGTGGCAGATCGTCCACAAACCGTGGTCGCAACAACAGTATTGTCTCCTCTGCTGCACCAAAAAATCGCGGAACCAAGACCACTCGCCCGTCCATATCCTGCCAGATCTGCGGTAAGCCTGGACACTCCGCCATCAAATGCTGGCACCGTCATGATGACCAATACAACACCGAACCCACGGCTGCCCTCTTTACATCTCCGCCTGCGTCCAATTCCTCCGACTGGTTCCTCGATAGTGGAGCCACATCACACCTTACCTCCGACTTTTCTCAAGCAGGTACCGGACTTATGGCATCGCCGACTCGAACACCCCTCTGCTCAAATCCTCGCCAGAATTGCCAAACTCTCGGGATCCGACTACATTACTGCCACTACCTCTTTTTGTAATTCTTGTAGAATGGCTAAAAGCCACCGTCTCCCTACTACTTTGTCTCAAACTGTAACTGGAAACTTACTAGATCTTGTTCATTCGGACGTCTGGGGACCGTTCTCTACGGCTTCCTCTCAAGGCTTTCGATATTACGTTTCTTTCATAGATGACTTTTCCAAGTTTACTTGGATTTATCCCATAATAAACAAATCTGAAGTGTTTTACAAATTTTTTGAATTTCAAAAATCGGTCGAACGACATTTTAATTGCAAAATTAAGATCCTTCGCACTGATAACGGAGGCGAGTTCGTTAACAATAAATTCAAAATGTATTGCAAATCTCTCGGTATAAGTCATCAATTCTCCTGCCCGCACACACCATCTCAAAACGGCGTTGCCAAACGCAAACATCGGCATCTCATCGAAACCACGAGGACATTGATCATACAAGCATCCTTACCTCTTCACCTTTGGGTTGACACTTTGCTCACAGCCAACTACCTCATTAACCGAATGCCCTCTCCCAACACCCATAATAAACCTCCTTACGAACTGTTACACAGTAAGTTACCCGACTATAATCACCTAAAAGTTCTTGGCTGCCTCTGTTACCCATGGCTTAAGCCATACACCTCCAACAAGCTCTCTCCCGCATCCCTTCCCTGCGTCTTCATTGGCTACTCTCATTCTCAAAATGGTTACAAATGTCTAGAACCAAAATCCAACAAAGTTTACAAATCTCGGCATGTCCTCTTCAATGAAACGGTTTTCCCTTATTCTACCAATCTTACTCACATGATACCTCCGTCTACTTCAACGCCTCACATTCCTCCTCTCCTTCTTGTTCCCAACACTAGTCTACCGAAAACCATTACGAACCAAACTCAAGACACGTTTCCCACACCTCACAAAATAATTCAACCTCAGCCGTCTGGACACGATCCGCAGCACACACCCAACAGCTTAACTCCCGTCCCGAACACTACTATGAACAGACCAACCAATTCGATTACTCAGGACATCATGCCCACTTCCACCAACATCATTCCTCCTCATCATCCCATGGTCACTCGTCTTAAGAGTGGTCTCTCCAAACCGAATCCTATCTTCGACTTAGCCCACCTTCTACAACCTGACGAACCTACCACATACAACCAGGCCACTAAATCGGAAAAATGGCGCACTTCTATGTCACAAGAATTTCAAGCCTTACAAGCCCAAGGAACTTGGGAACTTGTTCCACCGAACAGCTCCTTGAACATCCTGGGTTCTCGGTGGACATTCAGAACCAAATTTCATTCTGATGGGTCCATAGCTCGGCACAAAGCAAGGTTAGTAGCACAAGGCTTCAATCAAGAACACGGTATCGACTACAACGAAACTTTCATCCCTGTAGCCAAAATGCCGACAATCAGGATCTTCATCCTCATCGCTCTTCACCATAATTGGGCAATTCATCAACTCGACGTCTCCAACGCCTTCCTCCACGGAACACTAACCGATATGGTCTACATGTCACAACCACCGGGCTTTCAAGATACGTAATATCTGCACTACGTATGTAAGCTCAAGAAAGCTCTCTACGGCCTCAAGCAATCTCCACGGGAATGGTATGCCACTCTTTCCAATCATCTAATCAATTTCGGGTTCACTATTAGCTCTGCAGATCACTCTCTCCTCACATACACTTCCGGGAACATTCGCCTCTACATGCTTATTTACGTGGACGACATCCTTCTCACAGGTAACTCCCCATCCGAAATCAATAAATTACTTACTAATCTAAATGCCAAATTTCAGATGAAAAATCTCGGGTCACTCTCTCATTTTCTCGGTATTCAAACTGACAAAACTAATATCGGCGTGATTCTCCATCAAAGAAAATACGCTAAATCCATCATCCAACGAGCTGGCATGGAAAATTCAAAACCAGTCGCTACGCCCATTTCGTGCCGCACAATCGTCTCCACCACGGCTAGTGAACCTTTCCCCAACCCGCAATTCTACAGGAAAATCATCGGCGCACTTCAATATCTAACCATTACTCGACCGGACATTCAATTTGCTGTCCAGCAACTATGCCAGCATATGCAAGCTCCTCTCAACACCCATTTCGACTCATTGAAACGCCTTCTACGATATGTTCACAGCTCACTCGATACAGGTATACCACTAAACCGATCTAATCTCATTCTAAAAGGATACACAGATGCAGATTGGGCCAGTAACAATCAAGATCGGAAATCAATCTCCGGATACTGCAATTTTCTCGGTACCTCACTCATATCCTGGCAAGTGAAGAAACAAACTACAATCGCTAGGTCCTCTATAGAAGCGGAATACCGAGCTCTCGCAACTGAAGCTGCCGAAGTGCTCTGGCTCCGTCAACTTCTTCAAGACTTTCATACACCGCAGCTCGAACCAACAATCGTATATTGCGACAACACCTCCGCAATCGCTCTCGCCAACAACCCTGTCTTCCACGCCAGGACGAAACACATCGAGGTGGACTGCCATTTCATTCGGGACTACATCAAGAAGAATACTATATCGGTTCATCACATATGTACAGAAGATCAGCTCGCCGATCTTTTTACTAAAGCCATGCCCAACAACCAATTTAAATTACTCTCATCCAAACTCATGGCTACTACACAACCACAAGTTTAAGGGGGGCTGTTAGCCATCTCACACGTGGCATCTTGAGATTGGTCACCTACTTTGTACAAACGGCTCTATGTACTTTCTTTAATATAGTTCTAGTCTTTTCTTTATCACGTTATCTATATATACTATGTAATAGTGTTTCAGTAATTATATCTTTTTCTTCTCTGTTTTTCCTTTTACCTGTTTCGTGTATCTCTGGCATCCCGTGAGCTCTTTCTCTGTTTATCAACAGTAATTATAAACTTTTCTACTTAATAAAGACTAAAAAATAAAAAAAAGACTATAAAGAACTGAAGAAGAAGACAGGTCTTCTACCTACGTGTACTTTAATGCTTCTCTATCTTCATGATCAATGCCCCTCTTTTTATGATCGCTACCTCCAAAAATATCACATCCAATAATAACTAAAAAAAAGGGAGATTTACATACATACCACTTAATACTATTCTATTTACATATTTAACACCTAAAACTTTAATATTACATACATACCACCCATAGTTCATTTTCATACCAAATATGAGTGGTAGAAATGAAATATATGAGTGGTAGGAAAGAAATATAAGTGGTATATTTGATATTAAAATAATATAGAGTTGTATGCATGTAATATTAAAGTTTTAGGTGTTAGATATGTAAATAGGATGTTATAAAATGGTATGTATGTAAATTTCCCAAAAAAAAAAACATTCTCTGGTATCTTTAAAATTCTCATTTCCTTCATCAAATTTACATATTCAAACACACCTGGAATTTTATTACTAAGTGTTCAATTTATAATGACAATTTAAATTCATAGGAAAACTAAAGATAACATTTCAGAACAATGCAAAAAACATGTAGTTTTATCTTAGGCACTTAGATAAATTGAGTTATTTGATAAACTTCTCATCAATTAGTTCAAGCCAAATGAAGTTGACGAAACTTAGTGAAGTACTCAATAGCCATGTCCTCAGGAGGTAAAGTTATTATGCTCTCCAACTTATCTCCTGGGGAATGTTTCAAGAAGTTTTTGCTCCATGTAGCAAATTTAGGAAACTTCACAACATCGATTAGATTGAAATCAAGGACTTTTTCCACCACCACCCCAAGCCAAAAAGGGATCCAACCCACCACCAAGTCAAGATATCCCATGTGGTGTCCCCCAAAGAAGTCTCCTTTCATTGTGAGCTCTTTCTCCAACACTTCCAGAACTTCCTCAAATGCTTTAAGGCTATCCTTTCTATCTTCTTCTCCAGCAAAAAAAAGCTTCCTTGCTGCCTCCCGACCCTGTATTTAAAACACATCACATTCTTTATAGAATAAATATGACTAAGTTGAACTTTTACATTTTGAGACTTATACAAATGTTAGAATCCAACCCTTAATATCCCGATTATAATACGTATTTAACATTATCCTTGTAGTAATTTAAAGGTGTAAGTGAAAGTTTTGCATTATGCAAGCATTTATTTAAAAGCAATGTTTTTTATATCCTATAATGATAGGAAATATTTTGTAATATCTTCCATGCAATATGTTACACTCATGATATTTTTTACACCTAGCATTTCAAAATATTTTAAATGACATTACTTCAGAGATTTATGAAAGTTACTTTTTGCAAGTATTATTCAAAAAAAAAAAAAAATGTATTAGAATTGGAAACTTCCCAAGATAGGCTAATGTAGCGAAGCTACTTGGGTAAAACATGAATGCTTGTTGATGAACCGATCTAACGTCATCTAAGGTTTATTTGAGATCAGATGATCATCCAATCTAATATAACCTGTAGGCATATAAATTAAAAAAAAAAAAAATACAAAATTTGATGCAATTTCTTCCTCTAAATAAGTTTTCTCAAGAGATACTTCAAAAAAATTATCATGGGATCTTCTCAGCTTGCCCTATGAAAGCCATTTCTATACTCTTGGAAAGCATGCTTTTTCTCATTAACAATTTTTTAAAAATCATGAACCCTTCCCAACAAGCTTTTTGCCCAAGTCATAGAAGACATTTATGATAAATCCCACAAATTGTTGTATCCATCTAATTGTAAAAGTACATTCAATCACTAGAGAAAAAATACTGATTTCCCAATAGAATTTCTGACGAACATAAATCTGCTAGAAATTCTGGTGGATTTTCATCGGAATATCTCCGACAGATTACTAGTTAGTGGAATATCTCTGATAAATTAACAACATATTTTTATTGTATTTTATGCCAGATTTATTTCCATTAGAATTCCGACGGAATTTAAATATTTCTAAAAAATCATTATTATAAATATTTAAAATTATTATATTGTTAAATTAAATTAAGTAATTTAATAACTTATTGTCAAATTAAACTAAGCAAATTAAATATCGTTAAATTAAAATAATTAAATAGTTTTAATAATTATTATTATGTTAAACAAATTAATTCAAATAAATTAATTAGCTAAGATAATAGATATTATTAAAAAGATAAAATAATCTTGACATATAACGAATTAAAAAAAAATAAAAAAAAATATAACGAATAAAAAAAATTTAAAAATTATAATTTAAATTAAATAAATTTTGCTAATGAGACAGAAGAAGTATGCCCCGCAACTTAATGGATAGGCGATGTGTTCTCACAAGGGGTGGGGTTCGAATCATACGCAAGTATGGGCAAGCACGCGCAGGCAAGTTCGTGAGCTGGATTGGTTCACGAGCGCGAGTTCATGGGCAACAGTCAGGAGGGTTAGCGGTCAGGCCAGGTTCATGAGCGTGCGGAGTTCTCTAGGGACCGAGGCGAGCTTGGCTTATAAACGACGGGCAGGGGGCTTACGGGTTTGGTTCACAAGCAATGTGGGGGCTGCGGGCTTGGTTCATGGGCTGGCAGCGAGCTCACTCGAGCTAAATTTGAAGAATTTTTAATATTTTTTCTATAATCATCAGTTCCAATCGGAAAATTCGCCAGAAATGTTTTCCAATGGATTTTTTATGCTGAAATTCCGCTGGAAATTTCTAGAGGGATTTTTTCGTCTGTGTTTGTTTCCCGATGCATGTAATCTTGTCAAAAAAATTTCCGTCAAAAATCCATCAGAAATATAAATTACCGACATATATTAATTATTTTTTAGTGAAAAACGCCGCAAGAAAATGACAGTTTTTCGGTAGTAAATGTGGTATATCAGTACTCATGCTAAATCATAAAGTAGTTGTCAATCATTCATCCACCAAATGGTGTTCTCACCGCCATATATAGATTTCTAGAATTTTTTATTGATTCATATGCAAAAGGATGCTGAATTAGCCTTCATCTCATCAATGCACTAATATTATTTGGCCATCGTCATTGCTATATTCTACTAGCTTCCTATCATTAGAAGCCTATAAATCAAAGAACAAAAGTCAAACTATAAAAGCTTCATCACCAGCTCCGCCAAAAGTTACTGATTCTAGCTTATCTAGTTGCCCAAAAATTCTCCACCATTCCTCAAGTAATCACCACCTTAAGGAGTCGTACAAGGATTCACCTATGCCTTTCACCTCTAGAATTTATTTGTTCCACTAAGTCTGGGGATGTTATTAAAAAACGGTACTTCTAAAAGTTTAAATAAAAATATGTTATATGTGCCCTGCCATCTACGAAGGACTCAAGTGTCACCTTTATTATTATTATTATTATTATTTTCCTACCTAATGTATTTTTATAAAACTGTAATTTTCTTCTCTAGGCTAAAACTATATTTTTCCTATAAAACTATAGTTTATAGGAAAAGAAATTATCAGACCTAACCATTATCGCGGACGAACTCATTTTTAATTCAGAAATTAGTAGATCCAATAACTATTAGGTTTATTTTAAAGGCTTTATTTTTAGACGAGTTTATGAATCTTTAATGATTTATAATTCCTCTTTTATTCAATGCGTAGGCATCTTCACAGATTTTATTCCTAAAAAAAAATTATTTCAGAAATTTGATAAATTAATCGCTCGAGCAGTCCTCTAAGATCAATTTTTAAAAATTAAAAAAGAAATAAAAACTGCAAAACTTTATTAAAAAAAAATGTGCGAAAAACCTCTTACCTTATCTTCCAAAAAAAATGCTAAAAATCGCGCTCGTGAACGCTCATAAGCTTTCATTGGCAGTAATGGCGCTCTGTCACCCCAAATCTCATCAATGTATTCAAGAATAACGAGCGATTCAAGCACTGGCTTGCCATCGTGGACAAGAACCGGCACTTGCTTGGTAATAGGGTTCAATTCCAAAAGTGCTTTGCTCTTTTTCTCCAAATCCTCTTCCACATATTCATACTCTATTCCCTTCAACCTCAACGCCCACGCCACCCTATGCACCGCCGGACTCGCCCACATCCCCCTTAACTGCACCACATCACCAGAACTCGTTCTCATCCTCACCAACCCTTTTCGCTCTCTCTTTCTGCCTCTCTCTTGGCTTGAGGTTTCGAACTATGGTTTTCTTTTTTTATATAGAGGTGGCGTGGTAGAGAGGAATCAAGCACATTAAGATGCGTATCAGATTTGATATGGAGGATTCAATGGTCGGATATCTGGTTCGTCCTCCCTTCTTCAATTCTATGGGGCCATGAGATCCCACCTTTTGTTGGATTAGGACGTTCGGCTCTATTCAATTGGAAATCTGAGGATTTTCACCTTTGCGAAAGATACCTTTTGATTTAAAATCTGACATTGTAATTATCTAACTTTAGGATTTGATTTGAATTTGTAATTATCTTGATTTAGGAGGATTTGATTAAGTCAAAGTTTATCCGGGCGGTTCCTTTTCTAAATTTAAATACTTATTTTTCCAAGACTGGGATTTTTTCTCTAATTTTGAATTTATTCAGATTCTTGATGAAAAGGTTCATGCCGTATTTTCCCATTTATTATTCTCCCATATAACTCCTTAGTCCATCTCCAATAAAAAAACTTAATTTTCGCTTCAATATATAGTAATACTTCAAAATGAAGTAATTCTTCTCTAACTAAACTTCATTTTTTAACACAAAAAAGAATATGCTGTGTATTTTCTTTCTCATAATTTATTTTATATTTATTTTTTAATAATGTATTTATATTTATCAAATTATTAAATTATCTTTACTAGTTATTTTCTTTTTTTATTTTATTTAGGTATTGTATTACTCGATATCTTTTAAATATATATATGAGAATTTTATCTTAATTTATATATTCATGTTGCATCTTAAATAAATTAGTTACGTAAAAAGTATTTGAAATTTGAATAATGCGTTTATAAATTATTATTTCTGAATGTCCGGCATTATTTTTTCATGACGGTATTTATCGACAGTTTAGCCATCATTTTTAATTGAAAAGTTTCCGATGGTTTAAAATGTTTAAAATGCAGCTGAAGATGGCCCTAAAATTAACACCCCCCTACTCTTCTTCCATCTTCCTCATTTCTTCTGGTAGCTCATTTCGTTCGTTTAGAGAATGCTCGTGTCCTCACTGAACTTCGTATTTGGTCGCCTACTCGTTCGGTTCATCCAAAAATATTCAAGCTAAGATGCAGAAGGAGCTATAATTATATCGAGCAAAAATTCAGAAGAAAAAGGAGCAAGAGCTTATTCCTGGATCACAAGGCAGCGAGGACACAAACGATGATTAGTTGTCATTTGTTTGAAGAACGAGTTGGTGTATTTGGATGTAAAAGAACTTGTTTTATGTTTTAAAAATTGTATAACAAGTTGAGCTTTATATATTTTATGTTTTAAACTATTATAGTATCTATAGATGGTGGATCTTAGTGTATGTCATAGATTATATTTTGAACTACCTGAGTATATGGTTGAAAGTATTTGTTTTGTGTTTTGAACTTCCTGCATGTAATTGTAAAAATTTGTTTGGATAAAGGGAGGGAAGTCAATTTTTTTTTGCAATTGCTACAAGTTTTCTTTGCCTAACCGACATTTTAGACAAAAGAAACTTCGATACCAGACATAGGCAATTTTGCCACTGATTTTTTTTTGTTTTGCCGCTCTCGGTTTGGCCGCTGGAAATACTCATGGTTTGACCGTCGTTAATACCACTAATAATAATTGGCAGTTACCAGCGGTATTTGCGTCAGAATCTTCCGGTTGTTTACATGAACCATGGAAAAAAATTACTTCTAGAAATATGCTGCCAGTTTCGATTTCCTATGCAATTTTATTCCGGCATTGTTTAAATCACCAAAAAACAGTCGAAAAATATAAAAAATGTTGGAAAAATAATTTAAAACTCTGGAAATTGCGCTCGGTAATGGACTATTTTTCTATAGTGGATCCTAGTGTAATCTAGGTTGCCCACAAATCTCATCAAGTCAACCCACACACTATCACCAATCCATAACAGTCTCTCATCTGACTTTTAATGTCTATAAATATGTCTTGCAAGCAATTTGATCCATGCTTCTCAAATTTTTTCTTAAATTCTCATTATATTGCAACAACAAGTAGGTTTCTCTATAAATCAAAAGTAAAACATAGAATAATTTTTGTTCGAGTTATTAAAATGTAAATCTATTACTCATACTGTTAATAACTAATCTCAAAACTCGGAAACCACTTATCTCGAACTTAATATGGGATTTTCTTCCATAGAACATATGGAGTATCAAACTTGCTCCACTTGCTCCATATGGTGTCACATATTTTATGTGCAAGCTACTTTAAAGGATGAAACCTCCATAAAATATTGGGTTAAAAAAATTACTTCTTAAAATATTTTAGTAATCTAAAACATGCATTACATATGTATCGCCCTCAAGCTCTATAAACACGCGCCCATCTATTGTTGATGTTGATGTAGTATGGGTAGAAGTTCCTCTTACAAAGGGTTAAGGGAGTGGTGGGTAGCAGGATGGATGCACGTATGGTGGATATGGATAGGTGGATTAGATGAGACTCTCTGGGATGATGAAGGGGTAGAAAGGGTAAATTTGAGTACAGTACATGTGGGTTTCTATATCTTTCTTAATTACTATTTAGAGTGGTATTGAACGAGGTTTCATCGGGATAGAAAGATGTCAAAAGCTCCAAACCCAGATATAGGAATGAATATGAGGACTCCCTACAAGAAGAGTTGGCAAAGTCAGATTTGCCTGGGTCTTGGCAGCGGGCTATGAAGATGAGGTCCCCTCGGTAGCTCTGGCCCTAATGGATGGGCCACAACTTACATTTTTTGGCTTACAAAAGATATTGATCATGATTGATCACCAAGGGGGTTCATCATCGAAAGTCATCTTTTTAAGTTTTTTTAGATACTTTGTTGATGTATGGTAATTAGTTATACTTTGTTAATACTTTGGAGATATTATGTCTGAAGGAAGGCTACCTCTCAAATGAAAACATCCACTGATACTGAATTGGTCTACCAACTCTAGCCTTATATGAAAAATGCATAGGCAGATTCTCCATGGAGTAAAAAAATCCTAAAGAGAACATCCCTTCAAATTTACACAAAATGAAGTGAATATTATGCTAAATAAGGGCCAAAGCCTCTTCATTTAGTCTGAATGAGCATAATTCTTTAAAACGATACTTTGTTTGATTAAGGGATTCAAAATTGAATTGGCAACAAATTATAGTGGGCAAAAGGCACTTTAAGAATATGTGACAGTCATGACTTTTAAATCCAAATAATCTTCTTGATTTCATGTCAACACATCAACTAAGTGTTAAGAGAGTTGCTATTTGCATGTTTTACATTCTTGCAACTTATATAGTTTTCATGATTTCATATATTATTATTTTTTTATAGTTATCTCCTAACACTTTTTGGAAGAGTTATTTTTGCTCTTGTGTGTACTAACATTTCAGGAAAATCAAACTCCAGACTACAACGACTTCAAATCAAATTCAACATGAGATACTTTGTATATTTAAAAATTTGTATTCTTCTTTGAATTAAATTTGAGAGGGAGTGATTGTAATTGAGTGAATACACACACACACCTTAGAAGATTTTGAGAAATTTGTACTGATCGTACAGGACGAATATAGTTCATACGGGACGATCAGATCAGTTATCTCCTCTAAAGAGCAATGGAACGAACAGGGGTTGAAGAAAATTTTTCTAAGTCCTGATCGTCCAGGACGAAGTTTATTCATCCCAGGACGAAATGTTCTCTAGAAAATTTTTGTTCAAGAACGAAGTGTATTCGTTCCATAACGAGTTGCTCTCTGGAGCATTTTCATCCAGGACGAAGTGTATTCGTCCCGGGATGATTTGCTCTCTTTAAAACTTTCGTCCGGACGAACCTTAACTTTGTCCCAGGATGAAGTGAACCGACTCTAAAAATTAAGTGTCGTTCTGTAGTTTTTGGGAACCAACCTATGTAATAACCGTTCGTATCAGACAAACCTAGTTCGTACAGGATGATGTGTGTGTACGAAATTATTTCGTACCCATATACATTAGGTTCGTTTTCAACAAATTTAAGTAAAATCGTCCAGGAGGATCCACGATCATACGGGACGATCCAATTCATATTGACTTGAAAATTTACAGTTTTTGGATGATTTTTTGTGTTTTTGCTATAAATAGTCCAAACTAAACTGCCATATAATCTTTTTGACTACTGATCTTCATGCCTATTGAGAGAAGAGTCAAGTAGAGAATGTGAGAGAGTGTTTGAAGGAGATTTCTTGCCATTGGAGCGTGAAGGTTTCACTTGGTACTCAAAGGTAAGAGTCTTTACTCTTGGTTTGTGATTACTTCACCATTTTTTCTCTTCCTTCTAGAATTTTTGTGAGAAGATCTGTCAAAGAGATCCGATTCTCTACTGACACTTGGAGAGTGTGAACAGCCAAAGGGTTCTCTGCCCACACTTGGAGAGTGTGAACAGCCAAAGGGTTCTCTGTCCACACTTTGAGAGTGTGAATAGCCGAAGGGTTCTCTTCCCACACTTAGAGAGTGTGAAAGGACAAAGGGTTCTCTGCCCACACATGGAGAGTGTGAAAGGACGAAGGGTTCTCTGCCTACACTAGGAGAGTCTGAAAGGACGAAGGTTCTCTGCCAACACTAGGATAGTGTAAAAGGATGACGGTTCTCTGCCGCACAAGATAGTGATAGAAAGAGTGTTTGTAAAGGCTTCTCCGTCTTACTGTGGGAGCAAAAGGAGAGTCACTATTGGTATTAGTGCAATACTTGTAGGGTACCACCGGGGAGTGGATGTAGGTCTGGTTTTGACCGAACCACTATAAACCTCTTGTCTTTATTTTTCCGCTGCATTTTATTTTTGTATTTTTTTAATTTTAAAACTGTGGTTGAAAAATATTTTCTACAAAACTCATTAAAGTTTATTTTTTGGTTTAAAAATTAAAAGGAGGGATTTTTTTTTTAAATTACCAATTCCCCTCTTGGTTAGCCGTGAGACATAAGCTTAGGTCTAACAACCTAATTCATAGAAATCATATT